ACAGAACTCTTGATTTTTATCCCCTCTTGCATGTTGATCCTCTGGCAATGACACCCCAAACTTGGAGTCATCCTTGAGGCTTCTCTTTTCCTCATTATTTCATCCAGTCTCTCAGCCAGACTTGCTGGTGCAACCCCCATAGTATAGCTGTTCACATTCCCCTCCACAGCCATCACCCTGGTCCAAGCACCATCTTCGCCTGCCTGAACCAGTGCAAGTGAGTCCTACCTGCTCGTTCCCCGGCCCCCCCTTCCCATTTTCTACCCAGCAGGCACTGTGATTGTTTTGAAATCTAAACCAGCAGCTTGAGATACTCCCCTCTGAGGGGAGGATGAATGAGTTAATAAACGTAAAACACCCAGAAGCGTGCCTGTGTAAGGACTTGCTATTGCTCTGTTTCAGGGGCTGCCCACCACCTCTAGAACACAATGGAAGCTCCAAGGGCCTGCCTGACCTTGGTCTCCCCAAAAGTGGCATCCTGACCCCCCAACTCTAGCCATACTGGCGCCAGGATGGCCCCCAAACATGTTAAGAGTGCTTCCTGCCTCGGGGCTACTGGGTTTGCTGTTCCTGCTGCAAGAACACTCTTCCCCCAGATTTGCACAGTCTGCCTCCTTCTGCTCCATGTGCCTCAGTTCAGAGAGGCCTTTGCAGACCAGCCTGGCTCCAGCAGCGGCCCCTCCTGGTCACCCCGCCCCTCTGCTCTTTATCAGATCAACTTTATATTTTTATTTCCTTGATAAAATTTACCACCAAATCAAGTGATCCTGTTTATTCACTGACTTGTCTGTGTCCACTAGAATGTAGGCTCCCAGGGAAGGGCTCCTTCCTGTCCTGGTACAAGGTAGGTGCCCAAGAAATATTTAATGAATGAATGCATTATTTAATTACCAAACACTCTCTCCCATCTGGACTCTGCCGCCTTCTAGCTTGGAAGTCAGATGTCTACATCTGAGTTATCACCTCTGCTCCCGTTGCCTGGGAGCCTTGGCTGGCTTAGATCCACAGACTTTACTAGACCTCAAAGTCTTAAGCTTAGCCTGGGTCTGTTGATGGACTTGGCCATCCACTCACCCCTGTGTTGTCACGTCTCACAGCACCTAGTGTGGTGCTGGGCACGTGATCGGTGCTGATACGTGACAGCCGAGGTGACCCACTCACATAGCTACACGGGGGGTATGTGGGGGACACTGGGGAGTCGGGGTGGGAAGTACCATGGCGACCAGTGTCTAGGAACGGCGGCTGAAACTTCTGGGCTTCCGGAAGATGCTTCCTTGACCCCTGCTGGTGGTGTCTTCATCAGACCCTCAGGCCCACAGCACACACTGTACGACATGGGAGGTGACACCGCAGCCTGGCCCTGGCCCGTCTGGAAGAAGCGGGGGCCTGCACATCTTAAGCACCCGAATGCCAATTAGCATCGATCCCAACGCTGCTTCCAGAACAGTCTCCAGAGGAGCAATTTGACAAAAGCAGAGGGTCCCATGAGGAAAAGCCACCTCCTCAGAGTCACCAGGCATGGGCTCTGGGGCTTGGGAAGGACCCTGTTTCAGGCCACTGCATGGAGCAGGGGTGCTTGCATAGTCTCCCTCTTCTCCAGGGAAACAAGGCGCCATGGGACAGAAGAGAGAGGGTCTGTCCTTGGGAGGACCCGCCTATCCTAACCCTGCATCAGGAAAGGGGCCTGCCCTAGGGAGACAGAGGAATCATCCCTCAGAGCAGAAGAAGCAGAGCTGCGTGAAGTCTGCACACTGCGTGGTTTGTAAGTGATGTCAGGGATGCCAGGGCCCCAAAACAAGCCCCCCCCCACTGCTGGCAACACACACACAGCTTTGGGGGATGGAGTGAAGACTGGATTCAGTCTCTGGGGAGCCTCTTTAACTTTGCAGACTCTCAGTTATTCCCGGGGAAATGACCTACGCCAGGCCCAGGGCAGGTTTCCATTCCAGTCCTCCCCCCCGCCAACCCCTGCCTCCTTCACTTCCCCTCCTCCGTCACTCTCTCCTCCCACCCCCCAGGGCTCAGGGCTGTGTGAACTACAGTGTGGGTGAGACACGCACCCCTCCCTCGTGGACACTGAGACACTTCGGGTGGCACTGGACACCGAGTTCAATAATGTGGAATCACGGCCCATTCCCGTTATCTTTCAACCCTCTGGTTAAAGAGGTTCTTAGCGCGGAGCTGGCCAGTATTAACATCCAACTCTTGTCAAATATCTTTGAACACACAGGGCACTGACGTCAAAGCTGAGACTTTTTCAGGCACCCTATCAGCCAGAATTCCATGACATTTCGTTTTTATGGTATTTATATTTACTGTGAGTCTTTTTTTTTTTTTTTTTTGTGGTACGCGGGCCTCTCACTGTTGTGGCCCCTCCTGCTGCGGAGCACAGGCTCTAGACGTACAGGCTCAGCGGCCATGGCTCACGGGCCCAGCCGCTCTGCAGCATGTGGGATCCTCCAGGACCGGGGCACGAACCCGCGTCCCCTGCATCAGCAGGCGGACTCCCAACCACTGCGCCACCAGGGAAGCCCTACTGTGAGTCTTTTTTATGGCAAAGGATAGGATTTTCCATTTACGGCCAGTTTGAAAATAAGGGCCTTTAAGTTGAAAAGGAAGCTAATTTAAAGAAAATAAGTGATCGATCCCAAAACATAGCTTGACTATATTTTGACTTCTAGTTTACTATTTTCCCATCTACTAACATTAATGATTTTAGGTTTTAATAAAACTAGTGTTTGTGGGGATCACTTTGTAATGTATAGAAATATCGAATCACTATGTTGTACAGCGTAACTCACACAGTATTGTAGGTTAATAATACTTCAAAAAATATATTAAAAAAAGTAATATTCCAGATTTCAAAGGTCAATAAAGTTTGGGGAATACTGAGTTAAAAAATAATGATGGTGATGTCACTGCTATGTTGAGGGCCTGTCCTGTGCCAGGCCCTATGCTAAGTGTTTTCACATGCATTCTTTTTACCCAGTTCCCCCCGGCCCCAAGTGAGAGCTGTAGCATTATTGTCTCCATTTAACAAGAAAATGAGGCATCAGGAGTTAAGGGAGTTGCCCAGGCCCCAGAGATACTGGGTGTTGAAGGGGGATCTGATCCCAAGGCTTCCTGCCTCTGGAACCCAAGCTCACACCAGTGGGCTCTGCTGGAAGGAGACTCTAAGCTTGGGCTTGAGCTCTAAGCTCTAAGCTCTAAGCTTGAGCTCAAGCTTGAGCTCTAAGCCCTAAGCTTGAACTTGGGCGCCATCTTCACACTGCCAGTCGCCACCATCTACCCAACCTGTGACCAGGCCCTGCAGGGCTGCGCATCCCCTAGCTTGATCCTCACTACCATCGTCCTTGGAGGTAGCTGTTATTCTCCCCGCTTTAGAGATGCTACTGACTCTCACAGAAGTCAAGTAACGTGGCCCCGAACACCCAGCGACCAGGCAGCAGAGTCAAGGCTAGCACCTACGGCTCCAACTCCAGAACCAGCGTCTTTCCAACAACCACCACCTCCATGATGGTAACAGTAACACGACTCCCCCAGCTGGCCAGCTCTCTGCCCTCCAAGCACCTTGTCTCATCCTCGTCTCATACTCCCAACGATCTCAAGATCTTCCCTATGTTCAGATGAGGAAACTGAGGATTTCAACTGCTGTGGAATTCTGTGAAGCTTAAGGTGCTTCTCTGCTCTTTCATGAATGTCCCAGGATCAGGCAGCAGAGCCCCTGAGGAGATGGTGAGCTCTCACTGGAGTTTATTTTCCGGGCTGGGCTTCTGAGTTACCTTGAGCCTCTATTCCCACCACACGCCCTGCTGTGGCTGCTGGAGGCCTGGGGTGGGTTGAAAGGCTCCCATTACCCCCTGCCCCACCCCCATCACCACTTGTTAGGCATTCACCGCATGTGGACTTGACAATGGGGACAATTGGGGGTGCTCTCGGTACCCGCCCAGATCCCCTTTCTGGGCTGGCGCGTCCATCGCCCAGCTCCTGTGAATTATGAATGCTGGTTGCTAAAGGCTCAGAGCTGTCTCCTTCCTCAGGGACTTGTCCTCACCCAAATGGGAGCCACTTTTTCACAAAGACATGTACTCCCCACCTCACCCTGTAGCCAATGACTGACTCACAGACGGGCATGAAAGGGCAACCCTCTGGGCTCACGGTGAGACCAACTCTGGTTGTAATTCACCTTCCAGAGCTCCCCAGGACTGGGCTAAGTGGACTTCAGCTGAGACCTTGTCCTTGCTCCACTCCTTCCCCTCCCTCTCTTGCCTCCCTCACTTTTTTTCCTCCACTAAATCCTGTGCACCCAAATCCCTGTCTCAGGCTCTGCATCTAGGGAGCCCAGCCTGAGACAGGGCAGGATTGAAGATGTTGTGGAAGGCATGCTCCCTGCCCTCAAGGATCTTGCAAAACAGCGTGGAGACAGGCCACATGTGTACATAAAAATCATCTGCAGTACGGGATGGAATAGGTTGGAGAAAACAGTAATAACAAAGATGGGAGAAAGGCTCCATGGAACATGAAGTTCACAAAGGGTAGGTAGGGCTGGAAATGGTGTGACAGGCAGGGAGAAAGTTGGGAGGAAAGGCTCTGAGATGCATAGGGCCCTCTGCCCCCGCCTCTCCCATCTCCTCCTATCTGGTGTCCACGACTAGGGGAACCAACCCCAGGCCAGAGGAGAGGTGGGAAACTCTGTTTTGAAGATCCCACAATGGGTCTAGCATTGTCCACGAGTGTCCAGGGCTGCCTGAGAGAGATGTGCCAGTGGACCCTGAGGCCAGAAACAAGTCACTCAGTTCTCAAGATTCCCCTGAGAGGCTGGGGGCTTCGCCCACCCCTAGAGACCTCCTCCATTCAGAGAAGAGACAGACATTCCATCAGCCCTGCGCTGCAGGGATGGTGAGTTAGTGGGCTTCAGAATCACTCTGCAAAGGGCCGTGGGCACGAAGGGGGTCCACATACCTGCTGGGCCGCAGGCCTGGAGACTTGTTCACAAGGATTCAGTGATGTAGTAGGCAGCTCCTAGGGCTCCCAGAGCCACAGCAACAGTCCCAAGGGCTCGGAGCACGCAAGTTACGATGAGTGGAATGTTTACTTGCAGGTCTTCTGCAAAGCAAAGCAGAAAGCCCACAGGTTGGGGGGCAGCTGGGATTTAGTGCCTGTCTATATGCAGGGGAAAGTGGAAATTGTGGGGTCCCTCAGGATCACAGGAATGTCCATCTCCCCCTATGGCTCCTCCTCTCAAAGGAACACAACTCCCTGCACCCCTCCCAATAAAGCTCTACCACAGGACCCCCCAGGATCCGAGGATGGGCTGGCCTGGGATGCCAGCTCCCCTGGACACTCAGAGTGAAGGTGACAGAGGTAGTCAAGGCTGCCGTGTGCCAGGCCCTGTGCTAAACACCTCACACCCAGTGTCCTCCTCAAGCTTCACAACCATCCTGTGAAGTAGTCCTACCATGTAGCTCTATTCTGGGGTTGAGGCTTCTGAGGAAACCACATACTACACCTACCACAAAGGTGGTGGAAAAGGAAAGTATATGATTATGCTATTAATTGAGGAAGGCTTTCACAAGATGCAATATCCATTTGGACAAAAATCCTACTAAAGCAGGGATTCTTATCTAATGTGAATGTGTACTTAAAGCCCAGAGTCAACACTCCACTCTACAGAGAAATGGAAAGATTATGGAAGCAGGTGAAACTTGAGCAGAGTTAGGACTGCATCCCAGCCAGGCTGGACTCTGCGCCTCCCCGTCACTTTCCTACTTCTGAGCCTTGCCTTGTGCCTTTTCCTCCTCCTGGAAAGCTCTCCCTTTAAAATAGGCCATAGAGGATCCTAAAATCCTTTTAGATTCAGCTCAGTTACAACTGATACTACAACGTCTACCTGGACCCCAGCTCAGGAGTGAAGCTCTTTGAACATCTCCTATAGGACACGTATCACTTCCTGGCCTGCACATGAGTTTCTAAATGTACATATCTTAGCTTACCATGTGGACTGCACACTTTTTAAGGGTAAAGTTCCCTGTTTTGGTTTCCCTCCCAGTGCCTAGTATCCTTACGCAGAGTCGGTTTTACTACTTGTTGGTTTATGAATCCAGGGCACAACTTGGCACTAAACGGACGGAAGCACTAAGTGTGTGGAAGGACAGCTGATCATGGTGGGTGGGGGGCAGGCCCTTCCTTGACTTACCAGGCAGTACGGTACTTTTACTCTGGCATGTTCTCCCAACACACCTGGGTATCTGTTTGCCTCTCTTCATATGACTGAGAGATGGTGCTTTTCATGAACATACAAGAGAGCGGGTTTGGTGGGGCAGGGGCTGGGAAGAGGAGCCGGATGGGGATGGAGGACGGGTGGGCTCAGCTTCTGAGCTGGGAGATGCCTAGGCGGAAGCCCTCTTCTGTGGACATTTGTGAGACCTGAGTATAAGCAGAGCTGCCCTGGGGCCCAGAGCTGGGGGTAGGCGGAGGCCCCTCTCCAGCCCTTGTGCGTAGCCCTGCGCCACCGGAAAAGGTGAGGGACATCTTCAGTCCAGTTCCCTCAACAGGGGTCTTCCCATGAGAGGAAGTGGCGGCCACCTGGTGGCTTCGTGGGAGAGGAAAAGAAGGGCAGATGCTGCAGGCGATGCTGTGTGGGCCTCCGGGTCACGGACAGACCCCTGTGGGGCTGCCAGGAACAGCCCGAGACCCGCTGAAGGGGGTAGAGGTCTTCCTGGCACCAAGGGTTATGTGATTTACATCGTATTTATCTCTAAATTCCAGGGGGCGTTCATGTGCGGGTCAGGAGCCGGAAGCGTTGGGCTATGGCTCAGGCTGCGGAAGGAGCGACAGGGACTTTAGGACGGACTGCGGGGGAGTGAGCTGTGAGCAAGGAGGCTGCCTATGGAGCGACGAAAAATGAACCCCAAAGAAGCCATGCCCGGTAAGGAAGAAAGTCGTCACCTCTCCATGAAGGTGGGGTACCTGGGCCTGGGGCTAGTCAGAAAGGCCCGGGTGCCAACCCCCAGGACGTGGATTTCCTTTGGGCCTGGGAGTCCCGAGAGGAAGCAGTTACACACGACTGCTAATACACTGTGTGCCCCGAGGGCCCCGCCCCCCACGCGCCCTAGGACCTGTAGAAGGTGAGGAGGTTTGGGAATCCTCTCCCCGGCATGGTCGGCCAGGCCCGAGGCAGAAGGACATCGAAGATGCGGCTGTGGCACAGGCCCAGACGATGCCAGCAAGCAGAGCTGCCGGGACAAGCGAAACAGGAACAGCAGGCGCGCGGGCCCGCTCGCGTCACAGACCCTGCTGGACAGAGAAGGAGAGAGGTGAGGGGCCCACTGCCTGCGGGAGGTGTCCACACCAGGAGTGGCGTGTGCAGAGGAGAGAGGACCAACTGCATGGGGAACTAGTTGTCTTCTAGACTGGTGCTACCTGGGAATAATACAAAGAACACCGATGTAACAGCTGACACCTGTACAGTGTTCTATACGGCATTATCCATCTCATTCAATCATCAGAACAATCCTGTGAAAAGGAATGTGGTTATTCTCAGCTTACAGATATGGAAACCGAGGCTCAAAGAATAGAAGAGACGTGCTCTGTTAGCAAGGAGATGGAAGAAGTGGGCTTCAACGCAGGATTTCTAACTCAATTCTGTGCTCTTTCCGTGGAATTCACAGGAAGGGACGGCAGCAGGTGACTGTCCATCCTAGGAGAAGTGGCACTGAGATTCCTGCAACTGGAGCGGTCACGTTCCATTTCTCTGGGGCTCTCGGATTCAACCAGAAGACAACTGCTACTCCAGTGGACAGTCTTTGAAATACTTCCCCAAGCTCACCTCCCATTGCTGTCCTGGGCTGTGGGTCCCAGAGGAACGTGGAGAGGTAATAATTGATTTTGCCTGTGTGAGTTCCCTCGACACGCTCCAATGCGCATTTGGACCCTGGCTACCCAAGAAGATGGGGGACCGCTTTCCATTGGACAGCCGTTCCATTTTCAGAGAGAGCTAACTGTTGGATTTTTTTTAACGCTGAGCAGAAATCTGCCTTCTCCAGTGTTTTCCAAGGGTAAGTCGCCAGATTTAGCAAATAAAAATACAGGACGCCCGCGCAATATTCATAACACACTTATTATACTAAAAATCATGTGTTGCTTATCTGAGATTCAAATTTGACTGGGTGGCCTGTATTTTATCTGGCAACCCTATCCAGGGACCCTTAGTCAGACATCTGAGGACAACATGGAACAAATCTACTCACATCTTCCAGCTGACAGACATATCCTCCAATTCCCTCAACCGGCTCTCATACACCAGAAGGTTCTTGCCTCCCCGCCACCCTTCTCATCCCCCCAACCTGGACTATCTTCCTTGGACTAGATCGCTGGGCATCTTTTACAGCACACAAGTGGCCTGATGAGGACAGAGTAAAGCGGTATGACCGCCTCCCTTGTCCTTAACTGTATTCTCGTACTAATGCAGCCTTGGTGTTTATTTCTTAGCAGCCACGTGGTACTTCTGACTCCCAGTGAGCTAGGATTACCACCGAGCCATGCTGAATGTTAATATGTTTGCGTGGCTGTCTTCAGAGAGACTCGGTATGGTGAGGAATGACAAAAGCCAGGAATCCTGGTCTCCTGGGTAAAAAAACAAAACCCAAACCCCTCGCACTCCCCACGCACCGTTCCAGAACACACGTTAACCATGCATCAGTCCCCAATAAGAAAAGTGTCAGCCTCTGGGGCAGCCCTGGGACTCCATCAGCAGGAAGGCTAGAACCACTCAGGCAGGCAGGCTGCCCACCTGTTTTGCTGGATCGAGGGGATGCTTTTGTGCCAGTGTCCGGAGACGCGACGCCCCGAGCCCAACGGCTGACTTCGGGAGCTGGGAGAGCCTGGGGCACGGGCTGCGGGGGGATGGATTCACTGCTGGGCTGTGAGGTGACTCCAGAGCTGGGCGGCGGCGTGGTCGGGGTGCTGGGCGGCGGCCGGGTGGGCGGGGGGCTGGGCGGCTGCGGGCTGGATCCGGTGCCTTCGGAGCTGGCGTGCTGGGAGGCGGAGCCTCGGCGCCTGGCCTTCGACTTCTGCCCCTTGCCCTTCTTCATGGTGGGTCCTCCTCACCTAAACGTGCACCTACGTGGATCTGCCTAATCTCCTGACTCCCTCCCCGAGGGGCCGTGTGCCCCTGCCCTGCGGGGAGGCTCTGGCTTCCGTCTGAGCCCAGGGCCCACAGGAAAGGGTCACCCACACCCCTCCTGTGAGGTCACAAAAGCCAGGGTGGCTCCCACGGCAGGGTGCTGGGGACAGTCTTCTCTGCCGACACCAGCCTGCTGTCCTCCCTCCTCCTCGGCTCCTGCGGATGGGTGGAGAGCAGCTGCCGTGCCCCTCACGGACCTGGGCACCTGGCGAACGCTGGCCTCGGGGCCCGTGGAAACTTGGACGCCCACGATTCTGTCCCCCGAGCGCCTCTTTCAGGCACCTGCTTGCTGGTGTGTTCCTGGGTCCCTGTGTGCTGTTCCTCTTTAAGACACCCTGGCTGTGATGCTCGCTCTGTCACTGGTTTTCACATACCCCCCCCAAGCAAACAAACGGACAAACAACTTCACCATGCATTTTGTGAGTTTTAACTAAAGATCTGGGGGTCCGTGGAAGGCCCGCAGCCTTCTGCTATGTCAGTTGTCTCCCCCCCCACCCCAGATTATCCTATACGGAGCGGCTTCCCCCTTCTCCCAAAGCCGGCCCTCCCCGCTATGGGAAAGGGCTGGGGGGGTTCCCCAACTTTGATAAGAACCATCACAATTGGCAAAAGAATTTCCCCTAAAAACACAACAGCTGTTTGGAAAACTAAACTTCTGAAACTCACTACACTGACAACTGGCAGACCACCTCTCAAACTCCCAACTTGTCCTGCCAGTTAGGGGACTGTGACCCTTCCTGGAAGTTAACAATGTAATTTTCATTTTAGGAAAGAACAGGAAATAGCACTTTAGAAAGACAACCTTAAACTTCACACTTTGACTGCAATGTAGAACGTGTTCACATTAGGAGACTCCGCCTCCAACATTAATGCACCACTAGGTGGCTGAGGTTTCGACTGAACCCCTGGAATCTGGGGACTCATACGCTTGCCCCAGCATATGGTTTAGGGCAGACCTACCTAGGAGGAGCCCTCACATAAGGCCAGACCTGACACGAGACATAAAATGGACAGGACGTATTTTAAGGATTATAGAGCCTGAAAAGACCTTAATGATTCTTTTTTGCAGAAGAGACACTGAGGTTCAGAGAAGTTAAATTACCTTCCCAAGGTCACACAGCTGGTTGGAGGCATCGACAAGGCTAAAGTCCCATTTGGGGCTCTTTCATTTCATGACTCCAGAAGGCAACGGAGTCAGATAATGATGCAGGCCTTAAAATGGATGAATTTTAAAACCCCTTGATAGGACTGAAGAAAGCAAAGGCATGAAGGATTAGAAAGGAAAGGAAGCTCAGATCCAAGAAGGTGGATTGAATTTGGTTGACCCTTGGCGTGTGGATGTTCACGGAACAAGTGAGTCTACAAGAAGGTGGTGATTCCCTGAAGTTGAGAGCAATGGATCCCTCGGCGGGGGATTCAGTTTTGAATCAGAGAGACTGGAAACCTCAGTCAGGAACACTGTCCAGATTTAGCAGACAGGTCAGGAACTCCTAAGGCATTTATGTCTGCAAAATTCGATTTTCAGGCACCAACGGGCTTTTGACTGAGGGCCGCAACCTGGTTTAAACCAGGGTTTCTCAACCTCAGCCCTATTGACATTTTGGGTCAGATAATTCTTTCTTGTGAGGCCATCCTTCACTGGAATAGGTTTAGTAGCATCCCTGGCCTATGCCCACTAGATGACAGTAGCAACTATCCCTCCCCCGAAGTTGCGACAACCCAAAATGTCTACTGACATTGCTAAATGTCCCCGGGATGTTGTGTGTTTGTGTGTGTGTGTGTGTGTGTGTGTGTGTGTGAGAGAGAGAGAGAGAGAGAGGGAGAGAGAAATTGCCCCACGTTGAGAACCACTGGTTTAAATGAATTAGAGAGGGGCAGACATATAGGGTAGGATTTCCTGGTACCAATGAAAGAAACATTCCATTTCACACCAAGGAGCCAAACAGGACACAGATAACAAATCCTTGTTCCCCGGGAGAGCGATGAAGGAAACACAGAGGGTCAGGCTTCAGGAGGAGTGGGGAGTTTTTCCGTGACAGTGGAGAAGATAGCAAGCGTGATCCCAAGAAGCAGAGAGACGGCACTTGTGGAGTGAGAGGTTGTCCCAGAAGGATGAGGAAGAATGGCGCTGCAACAGTTTTAGCTAAAATATTTTCCCCTCTGCCTTCTGACTTGAGCACACATTTCAAGCCCGGAAGTCTGACACCTCCATAACACGGTCACGGCACGCTGTCCCGGGCTTATCGGCCACCTTGCTGCTACCGTGTCCGGCTCCAGCTGACCGTGAGCACCAGAGGTCTGGTGAACATGCCTCACTTTCCTGCATTTGTGGAAGCCCTTTCCTCTCCATCAAGCCCCTCTCCCTCTCTGTCATAACACTTCCCATCATCAAGATTCACCTCCAGTGGACCCATCTCCTCATAAAAAGCCTTCCTGTAGGTCCCCAACTGGAAGCAATCTCTCCCTCTCTGGGCCCCAGATCACATCCTACGTGGGGTTAGAATGATTTCTACCCTCGTCTTATCTAGGGCCAAAGTCCAGAGAAGGGGCTCAATGCAGTCTGCTTGAAGGTGACGGTGGGAGGCCGTTGAAGGCAGGCTGGGTGTGGCCGAGCGGGGACAAGGCACCTTGGAGCTGCATCACGAACGGCTTGTTTGCAAAGACGGCCTGGGATTTTCTGGACCTGCCTGAGGATCATGGTGGGAACAGCCCCCAGGCAAGGGGCTTTCTGAAGCAGGAAAGCCAGACATGGGAAGACCTCGTGGACTATTTAGGAGAGCGAGAAGAATGAGTCTAAAGGGCTCAAAGTTAGGTAGTCAGGATGCGGGCCTGACCAGAGGGTCCCTGGTAGTTCTCGCCCTCTGGGTGCGTCTTGGGCACCCAGAACAAGCAGTCACCGTTTGTCCTGAAACTAGCATCTTAGATCTGGATGGTACCACAGACAGCAACTGACCTTTCACCCCCACGTGTCGGAAGGGCAGCTAATCGGCGGAGGAGACAACGTGCTCTGGTCACCAGCAGAAGGGCGTCAGAGCCTCCCGGGAGCGGGCTGTGGGCTACCGAGCCCAGAGCACTTCCTTCTTCCCAACTGTTGCCCCTGGAAGGGCTCTGGGCAGCAGAGGCACTTGGTGCTCATTTAGGAGCGGCCGGTGGCCCAGGGCCCTCAGACCCACAGATTAACCCGCTGGGGCCACAGGCCTGGATTCCTTGATAGGAAGGGTTTCAAGGGCTGTGGCTAAGAATCCTGCCTTGGGGGTGAGGAGCGTGGGGGACCGGGGCTACTCCAACACAGCGCCTTCCTTAGAGGGTTGTGAGGATTAGTCGTGAAAAGCCCTTAGGACAGTGCCTGGCTCACCATAGGCATGTTTTTTACGGTAGTTGCGATTCCTTGGAGGAGACTAAGGAACCAGGCAAGGAATAGTGGACGTGGAGAGGAGGGGGTGGGGCCGGGACCTACACACTCCCGAATCTGGACCTTAGAAAAGCTTGATTGGGAGCAGTGGGCAAGGCGGAAGGGAGTCAGGTGGGTTGGTGGGAGCTTTAACTACACGTGAAGTGAATTCGAACATTTTTGACCCGAGATTACCCCGGCGAGACACCTGGGGCGAGAAATCTAGTTCATATTTACCCAAAACGGAGTTACGTGGAGGCGTTAGGAGAGGGACTGTGACACGGGGGATTTGTCTACTACTCGGGACCAGCAAGGTCAGGGAACTCCCTCTGTATTAGTTTCCCACCCGGGGACGCCCGTGGCAACCTGGCGTTCCGGGCCCCCGCCCTCGGGCCCCTCACCATCCGTCTGGGTCGCCCGATCCACTAGGGGGACGCAGCCCGGCGACGCGCCTTTGTGCGCTCCGCTGGCGGCCAGCTGGAGGTCCAGGGTGCCCTCGGGGCGGCTGGGGCAGAACACGGCCGTGTGCACCTCCTCGGAGGCGCTGTGCGGGGCGAAGGCGCTGCAGAGCAGGGTCTCCATGCGGCGGCGCGCCTCGGCTGCCTCGTCGTGCCGGGGCTGCACGACGATCCCGACGAGCGCGGGGGGCGGGCGGTGGCCCTGGTCGCGCACCTGCTGCAGGAGCAGCTGCAGCCGCGGCAGCTGAGAGCGCAGCGCGGACGCGCGGCGCGACACTAGGAGCAGCCGCGCGCGGGGCGAGGGCGCCGCCGGCGGCTGCCTAGGGTCTTGGCAGCCCGACGCCGCGTCTTCCGCCAGCCCGGAGCCGGAGCCGCAGCCCGACCCGCCTCACGCTTGCGCTCTTGCGAGTCCCCAGCCTTGCGCCGCTCCCAGGGCTGCTTCTGCGTGCAGCGCTTGGACTTGGCGGCCGGGCAATCGGCGCACCTCCGCGAACTGTCTCCGGAGCGCTTGAGCCGCCGCCTGGCTCAGATGCTGGAGCTGCTATGGCCGCTCGTGGCTCGGATGGATGAGGGCCGAGAGGGCTGATCGGTCGGGCCCTGCTCCAGAATGTTCTGCAGCGTCACACAGCACTCATCCTGCTTCCAGAGCTCGCCCAGCAGCACTACCTGGCCGTGGCCCTCGATGGACTGAGCGAGGGCCTGTTGCTGCGGCTCGGCCTTCCCGTTCCCCGGGGCCCTGGAGGGCTGGGCCCCGGGCTCCATGTCTGGTCCGGCTCTCTTGCCCCTCTGGGCCGGGGCCTCCGATGGCCAAGGAAAAAGCTGCCCTTCCCTGGAGGATGTCACAGTACCCCTGCGCCCTACCTCTTCCTGTCGTGACCAAGGGCCTCTGCCCCCTATTCTTTGGAAATCTTCCAACACAGGGAAGCTGCTGTGGGTGCCAGTGTAACACTGGCAGTGACTAGTTTCGCTATCATTTTGTATGTCTTTGGTGTCAAAAGGACAAATCCCTTTATTCCAGGGATGGATCATTGTGCCCAAGCCTCCAAGTAAAATGGATTT